TCATATCAATATTGTTCTCAATAGCGTGTTAAAATTATAATTACGATGTTTTTCAGTGACTTTAGTCAGAGTTGACAAAATTTCACATTTTTTAGATAAAATCCATGCCAGTGGTAAAAACCGGTATTTTCGGAAAAAACCGGCAGAAACTGATCCTTTCTATTAAAAATGTTAAATAGAAAATCTTTTTATCTATATTCGTCAATTGAGAGAGTGTTTTCTAATTCAAGCTTTATTCAAAATAAAATACAAAATAAATTAGAAATCGATGTAGCAAATAAATTAATTTTTTTTGTTAGAAGATGTGGAATTATTACATTTTTCTTATTAAACCAAAAATTAATAGAAAATTTAGTAACATTTATACTTTCAAAGTTTTTGTTTTAAAAATTTTACATATTAATTTTAAAAAGACTATTATTATATTGATTTTATATTTTTAAACTATAATGATTAATATAATTTATTAATTAAAGCAAAAATATTTTTTTGCATAAAGTTATGTAAAATATATTTTAGTTGTTATATATTAGTTATTTTTATAGTTTTTGCTAGTTCATTCCATTGGATAAAGTTCGGAATAATAAAACCCGGAATTTACCATGTTTTTTTTTTTTTTTCACTCACTGGACTTTATCGGCCAACCCTGACTTTAGTAGAATACTGTCATAGCACGGAAGAGTCTCTTCAGCTTTTATAACGCTGTATTAAGATCAAAATACACGCAACAAGAATTAGAAATTACGAAATCACAGTATCGCGCGAGAATTTTGGCACACACTCGGCATCATAACCGACATCTCTGGCTCCGATGTATTACGATTTCGCGTTGCTATCAGTGGCATACGCGTACCTACCTATTTATCTATCCACCTATCTACCTACCTACCTACCTACTCTTGATGCACACACGTTCACGCGCGCTCGCCTTTCACATATGCGATCCGACACGCACTAACACCGGGAAGGCCCGCCGCTGCCAGCATGTCTGCCAGCGCAACAAGCGGAATCCGAGCACTTGCGAAATCGGTCGAGACACACTCCGGGGATCGAGACTCGACGACGGCTTCGCCGCACATTCTATAGACATAACTCGCGTACGAGCCGTCTCCTATAAAAACGTCCGATTACGCAATGACGCGTAATTTAATAATGGATAATGCATCGTTGATGATAAAGATTCCGACGCGAATATAAAATTTATCACTCTTTGGCAAAATGACCGCGTATAACATTATTGACATTCGTGTGGAAACTGTTGTTAACGATCGACGTGAGCATGCCAACGATACGTGTCGTTCCGTCGTCTTTGACTTGACGTGTGTTCGTGTCATTGAGCGGTGACAAGCTCCGCGAGTAATGTAGTAACGCTTTTATTCTCGATTCGCGAGCGATTACTCATTCCTGGAATACGAGCTGATTCTTTTTTCGAGATAGAGAGAGAGAGAGAGAGAGAAAGAGAGAAATATTCTCTACAATTATATTTTTTACATTCTTTAATTAGTTACTAATTACAAATGGATATCAACTTAATCGAATGATAAATGAAATTCCAACAACTTTATGTTAATAAATGTGAAGTTCACGTTTGATAGACTGTCAAGTATGGGAATTATAATGTTAAGCAAACTTTATGAATATATTATCGTAATATCGTCAGTCCATGCGGCTTGCAGGAAAAAAAAAAACCCGCTTAATCCGGGAATTACATTGCATCTAGATTGCACAAAATTATATTTACTCGTCTTAATGGTAGCCTGTCGACATAGACACGCCTCCGTCAAAGTCGCCGGTAACAACAAAGAGACTCTTTCGAGAAACATCATATCGTCCATTCTCACTGTTCTTTGTCGAGTCGTAAACACAAAAAGGCCGATAAATTCGAACGTCATCATCTATCAGATGAAAAAAAAAATAAATAAATAAATAAAAATGAAATGATGAAGCGATATCAGCGCAAACATATTCTGCAAACGTGCTGACAAAGCGCTACTTTCGTGAATGCACTTTGTTGAATCTCCCCTATCGGCGTTAAAATAAGCACCGGAGTAAGGAAGCACCGTAAAAAAAGGGTAGAGAGAGATCATGAACGAGGAGGAGATGGCGGCGACGGTTGTGAGAAGGAAGGGAACGACGGTGGTGGCTGCGACAGCGACGCGGAGGAAAAAAAGAGATGAGGAAAAAGAGAGTCGCGGGGAGGAGGAGAAGAAGAAGAAGAAGAGTGGCTAACCGGCTGGCCGCAACACAAACTCGAAGTAAACCAAACCTACCGGTCCTACCGCTCGCTACCACTACCACCTACCGAACTATTACCTGTAACCAGTCTATATCTGGACTTCGCTTTGCGTCTTTCTTTTCCTTTCTTCCCTTCTCTCTTTCTCTCCTCTCTCTCTCTTTTCCTTTTTTCCTATCTCTTTTATCCGATGCACCGTGTGTACTAGAATAGTGAAATCCCCCTGTGCTCACTGCACCTTGGACTGACGTGGCCGTCTCCCACGCGATTAAGAAACGATTCTCTTCACGAATCTTGTATTGATCCCTCAAGTTACATGACAACGCAAAATATATCTTGTCTTAATTTTTTTTCTAACTTTTGGAGCAAAGTAGTTTTTAATTTTTTAATTTCTTCATTGAAACTCTTATACAATTGCTATAACGCTTGCATTTTGTGATACTCATTCAAATCATTGTATATATTGCCCGGTAATTCAAAGATTTTATATAAACTTTTATATAAATTGATTCATAAGCATTTCGTTATCGTGAGTTGCACGAGGGATACACTGTTTATTAAACCAGGAAATTGTGGGTAAAAATTGCAAAGTTTTTTAGAACGTCGATGTTTCAATTAACGTTACAGATAAAATACAAAGATATAAGATATATTTTCATTCTTTTATTCTGATTGTTTTTATTAAATTTATATTTTTTGTTTTACATACATACAATACGTTAGGAATATACGAAGGAAATATTTAATCATGGAATATTTTTTGAATAATTTTGACATCTTATTTTTTTTCTTTATAATTGATTGCGTCCAGCATTTTGCATAATTGATGGCTGCAAAGATAAGCATCGGAATATTTTCTTTGGAGAATATGTCATATATAATGTATTAAAGATTATACGTGTATATATTATATTATACGACTTGTTCGTGTATATAAATCTTTTGTGCGGATGCTGTGAGATAAGGTATTTATTTCTTCCACTTCACCACACTTTATTCTTATACAATGTTTTTATATAAGAGAAGTATTTTTAATACGGAACTAAAGATCGATTTCGCCCTAATATTTCTTGAGGATAACTTTTTTTTATATTCTTTTTTTACTTTTTAAAATTAAATTTTCTTAATTTTCCGTCTACGTAACTATAATTTAAAACGGATAATGAATCAAGTTGAGCTTGGTTTGCTTTGTCCAAACTGATAGTGCAATCAAGCCTAACTCTGAACTGAACGTTGCATTCTGTATATTCATAGATTTAAATTCTTATATCTAGTTGTACTAACAATAAGTTGAATATTACGTTATTATTATAATCTTTGATCGATCTTCGATGATTTATAAATAATTTATCTCAGGACAAAATAGATTTATTTATATACTGTAAATCAACTTAAACAGATACTGTCAAATATTTCTTTTTAAATAAATATCGAAATGGCAACAGTAAAAACTGTAATAATCTTTCCTAGCAAAATTTAATTAAATTATATATTATACTTTGCAGATTTTAAAGTACCAGTGTGCATTTTGTGTCTTAAGATTTTTTATTAAACGAAAATCTAATTAATAAGAAATTAGAGAATAATATACTGTTTCTGTTCAATGATGAGAATTACAGTCTGTCGAAATATTTTTTTAATTTAAATTGATTATAATTCAGAAACAAAAAAAGTGTGTTAATTTCATTCTTATTGAAAAAGAAACGATTAAAAATATTATCATGTGCATTTAATGCGATTACTACCGTACAAGCTCTGTTGAAGAACGTTTTGATATATTTACACGCGAGTTACGTGTAATGTAAATTTTAAAATTGCCTGTGTACCGACTTAATCCAGCTCACATGGCCCGATGATTAGGAATCTGTGAGTGTCGCCTCAATTACGCACGTGATTACATTTATAGTGGCGAGACGGTATATACCGTGGCGTTGATAGACGTGACACGCGCCAAACAGGTGTGTTTAATCCGGTCGTTTAAATCGAGTCCACGAGATTACGCATCCGTTATTTCTACGATGCTGTCTCGGGCGCACCATGACCGCAAAATCCCTTCGTGCCTCGGTTATCGATCATAACGGATCGCGATGATCGCCACAGTCATAGATGTAACGATCTGCGGCATCAATCGCACATTTTTTAAAGATTGATTGATTCTCGCAGCTGCATCGACGTCCTCGCGGTAGGTTTAATTTTTTTTGCGACATTCCTCAAAGCCATGCCCATATTATTTACTATTGACAATGTGTGTGGTTAATTTTAGTATATTAAAGCGTAAAAAGTTAATATTTTAAAATAATATAAAATAATATGAAAACGTATACAATTAATATATTAGAATGTATAGTTAAATATTTAATATATAAAAATGTACATTTTTAACAGAATAATATTTCTATTATAAATATATCTCAAATATATATTAATTATATATTTTTCTAGTATATATCTCTCTTAACAAAAAAAAAATAGGAAAGATAATTATTCTCTGTGTTTATTTTCTCATAATAAATAGAATGCAATTTATAAATACAGATTTAAAAATAACAAATACGCAAAATTAAGTTTGCCTTCTTATTAATATACTTTGCGTCACAGTGACGTAAAAAAACGTACATATCTCTCGTATTATCACTTTTTGTTTGCATGTTTTTACTGCATCTTTAATCGGTTTTATAATATATGTTTGATATCCGACCGTTATCGCGTGTAATGTTTCTATAATTATTCTTTTATCGAGTGCTTAATACATTATTATATCTTCCAGGTGGCTTGACGTCCAGGCTGAAACTGTGAAGAGTATAGATTGGCAGCATTATGCTTGCAACGTAGCATCAAAACTTCGACCATCTTCTTCTTGAATCGCGCTACGATGTTGTTTAGGTAAGTTTGCGTCTTATTCACTACTAGACGTTATACACAAATACATACACAGAATTATATTTTTTTTATTATCGACTTTTAAATTGAAATTTAATAATAATTTTGATAATTTTATTTTTATAAATCTAACTTTAGGACGACTTACATTGATTTTCAAGATTTTAAATTATTTTATTAATGACGAATGTCATTTCTCGCGATTAAAGGCAAAAATGATATGAGATATTAATAAAAGAATGAAAAATTTTTTAAGCGCGAGATGTTTCCGTGTAACATATATTTGCAATACACACTTTTCGTTCGTATAGACGAGTAGAAACGCGCATGATATGCAGATCGTATTCATATATATTCGTAGAACTTTGATGCGAGAACTTGTGCAAATCATTCCTATTAACAACCGCTAAAATAAAAATACGACAATTATGCACATTCATGGCACGTGTCGCGAAAACGGGAGACACTCTAATCAGAGCTTGATCAATACGCAATTTATAATCAATCTTAATCTTTTTTAGTTAAATAGGATGAATATAAAACAATGCTTTATAAATTTCTAAAGAGAAATTAGATGGCATGAGAATATACATATAATTGATATATATATAAATAAATAATTATATAATAATTGCATTGTGTAAAATGTTTCATATGGCAAAACCAATCGTATAATAACGGGATAATTCAGTTGATACAGACAGACTATGTCGTATCTTTCTTAGAGGCGTTCGACAATGGGCGCCACCGCCCGGCGTCGCTGCAGTTAATGTGAATGCGCTATTTAATATCGGCGCGCGAGAAACGACGTCTCACAGCAGATATTATAAATACGTGTTATCGCATATATGCCGGCGTACTATTTTAATGTGTTATCTCCATCCACGTCCGTCACGGAACCACAAACACGCCCGTTCGCTCGGCTCCCGCGCTCGATTTCTGCGCGTCTCTTCGGCGAACTGGATGCATCATGATAGTGCATCTCCTCTTTACATACGATGCAATACTACGTACATTCTATGAAAAAAATCGCGCGTAAAGTGTAAATGCTGTTTAATTATAAACTACGTTTTGCATTATCGAATCAGATAATGTATGTCTGATAAATAAATATTTAATTAAAAAAATTAAGAATAAAGTTATGTTTAATAAAATTGAGCTACAACATACGTGATACAAGATACTTTTTCCAAATTACAAGTCTAGTTTATATCGTTTTGATGTGATATATTAGACAGATGTCTTTTTTTTATAATTAATCTTTTTTGAAATTTATTATTTATTCAGAATATATTATTTTATTATACGTATTATAAAACAATTATTAATTAATTAAAATATTGCATAATAATTTTTAAGCCATTATTTTTATTAAATAAATATACGATTTTAACTTATGGAAACTTTATTTTGATTAAACATATTATTTTGTTAATACTTTTCTATTGAAATAATTAATACACTCTATCTTTTATATAGAGAAACATAAAGTAGATGAAATTTCTTCTATTATTAAGTCGCAGAAAAATATTAGTTGTACTTTTAATCTTTGAATGCAACTTTTTTTGCATTTTGCAGCTCTTGTTGCATTGCATAAAAATATTTTCTTACGCTCGGCGTAAGAAAATGATATATGTACTTTTATTTACGAATTATCTATGGCAATAAACCAAAATATTATATAAAACGAGAAAAGAATATCACTACTTTTGTCATACATTACAAAAGACGCTTTGAACACGCACTAGAGAAAGAACGCATAATATTCAGATATATGCAGCTCGGTGCAACTGCGCGTGTGCACTCTCATGTTTTCATATGATAATTCTACATATGTTTTGTGCGGCCATGTTGAAGGGCCTGAGAGCAATGAGACAAATTACGGAGATTGTACATATAAAGAAACACACACATGATACTTACGTGAAGTTAACCTTCCTTTTGAAAAAATTAAATTTCTATACGTCATTTAATTGCACATTATTTTCACACGGTTGCCATTTTTTATTTGCGCACATCAAGATAAAGTAATTATCAAAAAAAAAAATTGGAAGGCTAACTTTATATTAACTCCTCAATTGAACAGAGCAAGTAAGCAGAGTGAGCAGAGCGAATCTTTTGAGCGATTATTTATTATCTGCTAAAAGCTTTTTTTTTCAATTAGAGATTATTATTGCATACTTTGTTAAACGAAATGTTTCGAAGTTGAATGATTAATTATTCGACGATGTTATAAATTAGTACGAGCAAAAAATTTCATGCTTGAAATATAATTTATAAAATAATTATATTTACGATAAATATACATTTTTATTATTATAATGTATTTATGCATAGCAGAGTAAAGTTCTTCACACATAATTATATTCCATCACTTTCTTTGATTGCTATAATGCAATTTGTAATTTGAATTTATATGTGTTTTGATGAGAGGTATACTAAAGCTGGATAATATTTCTCAATGCTTTATTTTACTTCGTTTATCGCCTATTTGTAATAATAGATCGCCGAAATAATCGAGTAAACATCATAATTATGATGCTACGTAGTGAATAATTTCTGGTTGTTGTATCAGAAGAGTCATGGAATTCTGCCAAATCCTTGAAAGAGAGCCGACATTCAAACGCGCGCGCGGTTAAAATTTGTGTGAATTATATTGACATCTCATGTAAAAAAGAGCTTAAATGTATATTTGTATATGATAATTGATTAATCCTACATTGTACTTGCAAACGGCGTTCGTTCGTTGACTGCGTTTTTTATGACGTTCCATGTTCTCCGCCTTTGATAGCTTCTTTCAATAAGCCATTAAGTACATTGACACTGTTTCTATCATTAGACGCTCATTAAAAAGCCGACGAAAGCATAGGCACACATGTAAAGGAAATAACAAATAACTATTTTTATATGTGTGTCTTATTCAAGCAACATTTTCTTAAGATGATAGTATCATAAAACGTATACTAAGTTTCGACATATTGAATCCTTGTAAAAAGTATTGGAGTTTTTTTTAGTTTCAGGTAAATAATGTTTAAAAACTCGTAATATTTCAAATAGCAAAACATATCGCATCTCGATTAAAATTACTTTAAAGCGCGGTTAAAATTTGTGTGAATATTCCGAAGTTCGCATAAGTAGATCGCATGTACACTCTCAATTACGTTATATCTAAGCAAGATTAAGAAAACATACGCGATCGCGGCTGTTGCTTCCATTGGAAATCCGCCAACTATCTTCTGAGAACATAAATTCTAGGTCGAATCTGATTTGCCAAATCGTCGACACATGTTGATAAAAACAGTCGCAGAGATTTCAAGTTTGTTGATTAATTGCCGAAATACAGAAGTCTATAATGTTTCGACATCATTAAAATTTAATTTTAATTAAAGAGCACGAAGAAAACAATAATAAATTTAATATATTGTAATAAATTTATAATATAATTTCTATATAACTTGCTAACATATTTTTTTTGAAGTATATTTCATCGGAAATATTAAATCTTAAAATTCAAAAAATTCTTCAAATTTTATGTAAATCCGCTCAACTGTTTTTACATTTAATGTAATATGATATAACAAGCGGACAATTGAAACATAATGTAATACGAATTCGTTTCGATGAATCTCGGATACATATTGTTGACTCCAATATCTAACGCCCGCGAATCATTGTAATCGGCGGATGCTGGTAAGATATTATAAATATTATTATTATAAAAAGAAGAGAAAAGATTCATGGAGTGTGATAACGGAATAAAATAGATGAATTTATACACACTCGTATCGTGCAATTCTTAAAGATCAAATCATAAAAGTTAATTATTGGAGATAATGATTTTTAAATTTTATATTTAGGAACTTTTTTGAGTTCATAAATAGAGGTATAATCAAATCTATCGAAATATTACAACTATAACAAATAAATTAATGAATTATGACTTCGGCTCTCTTTCAATGCTCTTTCAATACTTATATGGAAATTATTGATATATACACAATTAAAAAATATATTTTAAATATTTATAATCTCATATTAATCAATCTTAAAATATTCAAGTTTTTCAATTTTTTAAACATCATTAAAGCATGTTGTTTTTTGTATGAAAGAAAAATTACATGCACGAAGAAAACAATAATAAATTTAATATATTGTAATAAATTTATAATATAATTTCTATATAACTTGCTAACATATTTTTTTTGAAGTATATTTCATCGGAAATATTAAATCTTAAAATTCAAAAAATTCTTCAAATTTTATGTAAATCCGCTCAACTGTTTTTACATTTAATGTAATATGATATAACAAGCGGACAATTGAAACATAATGTAATACGAATTCGTTTCGATGAATCTCGGATACATATTGTTGACTCCAATATCTAACGCCCGCGAATCATTGTAATCGGCGGATGCTGGTAAGATAAGTGGTGGGTATACTCAGGTGTCGCGTGGTGACCAAATGTTGCCACACCCGTGTACATTTACAGCAGAGTAACGTGAGATATTATATCGGTACAAAACACACCGATGCGAAGAGTAGTCGCGATAATAACAAGATCCATGTGCGCGCATCTCTTGTACTACATATCCGCATATCGTTCTACAATTACTGCCTTGTAACGCAATCCACACCGCCACATTAGCACGTATGTTTATGCATATCACGTGTACAAAACATACCGTTAGAGGCCCGAATGTATTTCGAGATCGCGCACTTTGTCGATGCCCGTTAAACGGTACGTTTGCAAACGCAAACAACAAAGATAAACACGAATGGCAAAAACGAATTTCTTTCTTCCATTAGGTATATTAATTATTATTGCAATTTGTATAGAGTGTGTCACTTTTTTCATTTTTTATTTTTCTTTTTCTGTCACAAATCGTATTCCAAAATTCAAGAGATGTGATCGAATGTTTTATACCAATTGCTATATATAACCAGGATTGATTCAGCGTTTTCAATTGAACACATTTGGACACATTCACGGTCTAGCAGAA